CGCCTGTGGATAAATAACAAACATTAGGACATATTGAGCACTATTTTGTCACTAGAAGCGAAAAAAGTGTCACGCAACGTGTCCACAAATGGTGGACTTTGACACTATGATAAATCTGTCTGTATAAAAACCTCGGTTGTCGATGAAAAACGTTGATTTTAGCAACAGACAGAGGTTAAAAGTCAGCTAGTGAAATCATTTATATATATTTAATCAAGTGACGGCGTCGAACGCACTCTCATAATCTTTTAACGATCTACATTGCATGTTGCTGCCCCTGTTGCAAGTTGTGGCAATATACTACTCAACATTGGAATCCAGTCTAGTTACCTGTGTGAATATCTGCATTACAACGCTATTCATAAAGATTTTGATTTCAAAATAAAATAATCACCGAGTCACGACGTAGCAACACACTGTATGGTGACTGTTGTGACGTCATGTCAGTGTTGGTCATTATATTCTACAAGTGATGTGAAGCAGCAGTCTATTCGATCCGTTCGATGTGTTTATCCTTGTAGAATTGCAAAGAAGATATAACGGTCATTAAGATAATGTTTTCTTTCTTCATATGCCATATTGACATCCACACAAATCCCTTTTGAAATGTAACTGATCTTGTCATAATTATTAAAACTATTTCGAATCTGATCGAAAACTACGAAATTGATCTTTAAAAAAAACTGTTTTAAACTAAATTTTACGCAACTTTCTGTTGCCGTCGGCAAAGTTAATTTCTTTAACGTATAAATTGGTAAGCATACGGTGAGTAGAATACAGGCCCGGGGGAGGGGTATTTCCGTAAATTAGGAAGAGGTGTGTGCCGCGAAGGGTCTTAAACTCTGACCCTATTTAAGGATGAAGGACATGAAAAATGAAACTTATTTAAGGCCCAAACCGGAAAAATAACACCCTATTCAAGGGAAGAACAAAAACTAAGAATAGCGTGGACGGTTCAACTTTATTTTGTTTCTGTAACATTGGAAGTATACGAATAGTTTCTTTTAACCGATTTATTTGTTTTGCATTTAGCTGGGCATCTACGCACTGCAAATTTGGCTGATACAATTAAGGTACCCTATCTAAGGATCACATCGGGAAAACAATGTTAACAGGGGCAAAAATGATACCACGATCGAGAACCTCAAAAACCTTACCCTATACCGCGGCACATTCCTGTATAGCCCATATATGGGAGTACCCCCCTCCCCAGGGAATACGCTCGCTAGAGTGTAACTAGAGTGTCGCTAGAGTGCAACTAAAGGTTTCTAAACTGTCCATCACATTCGTTGTCATCTTCTCTGACTTTATATCTTTGGTTAGGAAATCTTGAACAGGAAGTAAGCAACAACTATACCAGCTAGAAACCCGAACATAAGTAGAAAACTTGGCGTCTTGTACCACTTCCTCCTTGTCAATTGCTTATCAACAAGGTAACGACTTGTTGCCGAGCCAATCCAAGTTTCCAAACCGTCTTCCGGTAGCTCTATGAATCGGTCGTTCAAGCCACGAAGCATCATCTTTGCAAACGTGAAACAATTATGGCCAGTGGGGTTGCTACTCGACCTTGCCGAACTCCCAGCCAACACACTGTTGTCGCCTAGTATATGATATTTAGGAGGCTTTTCTTGCTGGGCTTCGATCATCCGTATCAGATTTTCAGCAGCGGGTTTGGCAATCAGCCAAGTGGAAAACAACAAACGGTCGCTCGCTCGAACGTCCATCATTCTCTTCTGGCATTTAAACAACAGCCGGTCGCTAGTTCGGTCTGCTACTGCTACTGACTCATAGGACTCCATTCTGACTTTACCTTCTTCTGTTCCTGGTTTGACGGCATCAAACCAGTGTACGGCAACAAAATCAGCGAACCATATCTTCGACTTTCTGCCTGTCTTTCCTTCGAGCACAATAAAGGCATGTTCCGAATTAGACCGATCAGGCAGACGCACTAGGGAAACTGTCCAACACTCATCTGTGATCACTCGGGTCGGGTCGACTTCACTACGTTTGTGGACTGTGCTTGATGACTCTAGTCGAGGTAGCGAGTTGAATATCATCAGTTCACTTCTAAGGCCCCCACATACTTTCTTCTTCAGCCTTACTCTAATACTGTCTAAGTCTTGATCGAATTTGAAATTCATGTAGTTGTCACAAATGTCCTTCAGTTCTTCTTTCAGCTGATCACCAATATCTACTCCAAGGTCTTTTACACGTCCAATTAAATCTTGAAGAAACACTAGAGGAGCTGCTGTTTGGTTTTTGACCACGCTAACCATAATCAGACTACGGAAGAATTGTTCCGCAGCGTAACCCAATTCATACAGTTGGGACATGGACTCCGTTTTATGGAGATTGATGTATTCCTTAACTTTGGTGATTTGCTCATCGAGAAATTCTCGACTCAATTTATCTTGTGTTAAGTCTGGTAACTCTACTCCAAGTTTTAATGCTCTTGTCTTCAAAAGGTCGTAATTTTCCTCAATAACATGGAATGGTTGCTCATTCAGATCTACCAACTCATGCCAAAAGAACACCGCTGCACGATTCCCAAGCTCGTATATAAGTTCTTCCACTGTCTTTTCGTGGCTCATATTCGTACTTCGACTTGAATTTGGAGGCCAGATTACGAGAATTGAGCAAACAAAAATATCATACTACTCCATATGATGTTCACGTGACTTGAGAACAATGGAAATTTGATGACTCATTGCCCTTGTATGACATTATCCGCTTCTTGTTTTTCCTAGAATCATATACAGTAATGCCCATTTAACTTGTAGTGGACGTGTTGATAACTGAGTTAAGCGTCCAAAACACAGCCAATATAAACATCCTATGGCCTGTTTAGTGACACCCATATCAGAATGCACATAAATTTATTTATTTACTTGTGTTTTGGAATCATGTTATTATTTCGTTCTATTTCAGTGTACCTATTTTTATCGGCTCTGACCTCATTTTTTTTTTTTAATGGGGTCAGGTACAATTTTATTTTATTTTATTATATAGTTTTTTTTATAAATTAATTTCTGTAAACAATTTTCATGATCTTTCTATCGCACACAGTCTAAGTCCTGGCTTCCACTAACTAACCAGAGTTAGAGCAAGAGCGAAAGCAACCTCTTAAGTAAAATGAGAGACTCTGGGAACGAGGTTGGAGCAAAAGCAAGATCAAGAGCAAAAGTTTGAAGAAACTCAGTCACGGTATTTTGCATTATTTTGGTCACGAACAAATTTCCTTTCATCGCTGTTGACTCTCGGCTGACGCAGTTGCCGAGGTGTTGGCCCACGCATCGGTGGGATAGGATTCTTTACCTTAAAACCGTAATTTTATCATATTTGGATGGGAAATTCGCTTCAGTTCTAGAGTTTAACTCATTGACGCCTGTGCCGACCATAGCCGGCAGTGACAAGCGTCGGCCTTTGTTCTACTTCTGACGTCATCACCTTTGATCAAAATTGATATCAGTTATACTCTAGTTTTGCAGCAGGAAGAGATCTTTCAAATGATACCCAGATCAGAGTATTTCCCGAAGCAAGCCCAGTAGAAGGAAAAAACAAAAATGCAGCAAAAAGACAAGAAAAGGAGAAAAAGGAAAAGAGAAAAACTAAAATGAAAAAAAACAAAAAACAAAAAAAACGAAAATCCTAAAGAGGTAGGTCACTTTCTCAAAGTTTTAATTTTTGCGCATGCCCGAGCAAAAATGTCATAAAGCGCGATGGGAGGGGCTAGGGGGGCCCGGGCCTCCACCCCCCCCCTTTTATTTTGGGGAAAAAGGAGAAAATTGCCGTAGGAAGAAAAGCCGGCATGCATTTAGAGCAAGCAAAACAAATCGCTTCCCCGCTCCCCCCTTAGCTCAAGGTCTGAATCCGCCACTGGCTAGTGGGAAGAAAGGCACATGCTGTCGCGTTGCAAATTAACAAATTGACGTCAGTTTGTTATGTGTCTGTCCTTTTATTAATGATAAATTGCGTCATAACATTGTCAAAGTGGCTGTGGAACCACGAGCCGCAATTTTTGACAGGATTGGAGCTAATCCAGGCCGATTTCGCGGGAGATGACGCAATAAGCACCAAAAGAAACCCCTGTGCCCTCCCCCTAGAAACAACACATGACAGCGTGACAGACGAAAACATGGCGACGAATAAGACAAATGTTGTTCCTACTCTGATGAGCAGTTTAAGCATGGATGTACTCGAAAAGCTGGGTATGAAACTTAATCCGAGACATCCCCTGAAAGACTTCAGATATCTCGCTGGAAAAATGAACTACACCTACGAAAGTGTGAGAAATTTCGAGAGACAGAAAAATCCGACAGCTTTCTTGTTGTCGGAATGGTGGATGTCGAATGCTGAGAAAGGGGAGCAAAAGACAGTGACAGATTTAATTAAATATCTCCAGGAGATGAAAAGAGATGATGCTGTTGAACTTCTCAGACCAGTTGAATTTACAGGTAAATCCTATGGTACATCGTCAATAACTTTGTAAACCTAATTTGATAGTGTGCTCGATTTTTAGTCTGTGTTAGTCTGCATGTAAGGGCATGTTTCTTTGTTGAAACAATGTGTGATCGATTTGGCTATTCATCGAAGGACATTTTTGCTTTGTTGATACTAAATAATTTTCTCCGATTGTCTATATTCATAACCTGGGCTACTTTAAAAAGTGAAAACGTTAAAGAAAATATTTAATTTTCATGCCTTCGACCAAAATGTTCTGAATTTTGTTCACCAACAAGTTTTTTCCACTCTAGTGTGGAATATGTCGCTTTTGCGTACTGGACGGACAACTTGATTCGGATTCGTTGATTATAACTTTTCAGCTATTGGTATCTATGATCTCTTGGCTTCATCTTGAGGATATATTTTTCAAGAAGGCGGTTGCAGGAAAATGAAAGATTTGGTGGAGCTATTAAATTGTCATTAGTGACGTACATAACTGCTTGAAAATAAAAGTTGATTTGGCACCGGAATCAAAGCTAATCAAAGGCTGCAAGTGCAAGGAGATAGAGAAATTATAACAGGAACAGGTCTAGAATAGACCACAGATCATTTGTAGAACTAAATGTCTGTGCTGAAAACCTATTAGGTTTTATAATTACAGTTAATTAACTGTCTGAATGACTAATTTCATACCTTGCCCAAGTTAACTTATCTATGCAACAGTGGTTTGGATGGATTTCAATATTGTGGAGTTGTCTTTCAGATGCATACCGTGCTAAGAACCAATCAGACTGCAGGATTTTTCAACTGTGCCCTCTTGGAAAAAAAAAAAAAACAACAAATAACTTGTTGAAGGGGGAGGGGAGGGAGGGGAGGGAGGTTGTTCTTAGCGGGGAGTGCCTATTAGATGGAATGCACCAATTCAAATCATTATGGCAATAGGACTTGTGGAAACTGCGGTTAAAGCTTCATGATCTACCTAGTATTGAGCTGAAGGTTTTCTTTGTTGTCTTCAATAGAAATGCCGCTACATCCACCAAGAGAAGATGTCCATCAAACACACAGATCTCATGACAGGCCTTTACATGTACCTCCTGTGGGGAACTTATTTGGTGCATACTCCACAGGAGGTTTGTTGCTTAGTAATTTCTTTCGGTTGAATTCTTAACAATAGTGGTTTTCAACTGAGTGTTGTAAAACCCAAACCAAAGTAATCACTCTAGAAAATCTCCAAGGATGCCGACAATACAATGAACCAATCAAACTCAAAGTAATTTAACATCTAACTGAGACAAAGTGCAGGAAAATGAGTGCGAGTGAATTACGATTGGTTTTGGTTTTTTCTTCTGATTAGATGAAAAAGTGGGACAAGTTTTTAAGCCAATCGTGTAGCGTAGTTGATGCAAAACTGATTACCTTTCGATATTCAAATGAAGACCACTCTATAATTTACATTAAATACTTAATTGATAATTATCTACATATATCTTATTAGACAATTTTAGTATGTTGTACCCCTGTATATTTTTACGACAACTGCAGTATTCTGACAAGCTTATAGGTGTAGTAAATTATAAAAAAACCCTAAAGGCAGTTATGGACAGTTACTTGTAATACAGTTGGACTTGGCTAATTCGGACTCAGTTATTTCGAATTCCCTGTCATTTCAAACTCAATTTAACCATTTCCCTTGGGTTTTCCCTCAGTCATTTACTAATGGCTGTTTTGAACTCCCGCTATTCCGAACAATTTATCGTTTCCGCTGTGAGCTCAAACTATTGGAGTTCACTTGCATGCAAGTATAAGTCTGTTAAGACAGGGTGGGAATTATTATCAAATGTGTGACAACTGTGGATATGAATTGTTGCGACCTTGTAACATAATGCAGGAGTGATTTCACCTCTGCCAGTCTGTTACGTGTATTCCTTTCTGCATTTTGTACGCTTCCACTGAAAAACCCTACTTCTTCATGGGCGCAATGACCTCATGGTTAGTGTGCTTGACTCCGGATTGAGCGGCCCTGGTTTGAGCCTTGGCAGGGGACATTGTGTTGTGTTCTTGGGCAAGATATTTGCTATCACAGTGCCTCTCCCCACCCAGGTGTACAAATGGGCACCAGCTAATTTAATTGCTGTGGGTAACACTGTGATGGACTAGCATCCCATCCAGGGAAGACTAGAAATATACCTAGTCAGGGCTGTCATTAAGGTTTGAGTCACCTGTAGCCTTGTTCTCCACACCCGTAGCAAACTTGTCACTTTGTGGTTGAATTCTTTCAACAACAGGCAATTTCACCTGTATCATCAAAGGAAAATCAAGCATACTCAGCGGTAACAGGTGTTACGGGTTACAGCTACAGAAACCTGGGATAAGCTCCTGCCTGATGGGCCACTTGGCTCATATGCAGGCCTTTTCAAGTCTGGAGCTATCTGATTGTACATTTATTACTTAATAAGAATAATGTGAGGAATTATTTAAAAGTTTAGTTTAGTTTGGGGTAATGTCACATTATACATGCCAACTTTGATTATTGGGTTGAACATTTCAGTCTCTAAAAAAGTCTCCAATTTTAAAAGGGACCTTCGAGTACTTTTGATTCATGGTTGGGCCATCTTCAAAAATCTCAGTATTCCCAGGAAAAAAAATCTCACACCGCTGACTGGGAAAAAGTTGGTAGATGATCCACGATTTCTTTAGATTCTTGAGAAATTTGTTTGCCACATGTATGTTTGTGTGACTTTGCTTTGTTAGATTTGAAAGAAACTCGTCCACCTCAAGAAAATGAGTACCTATATAATAACAACTTGGCACCTGACAGGGAAATATATTTTGAAGGACCAGATGGAAGTAAGTAAAAGAAACGTTCTTTCAAAGTACAGCTGGGCTGCTACAGGTAGCTTGGTTAAAACCTCTAAAAATTACTGCAAATTAGTTACTAATCTTGCAGTGTTTTCAAATAGCTTCTGACTGGAAATAATCATTTATCAAGCTGACATTTTAATACAGACTCACAGGACTACTGGCGGTAATTTCACTTGCCCACCGGGCCACTTATCTTCTATTTTTATTAGCCCAAGAGCAAAATTTACTTGCCCAGGTAATTGGACCTGGGTTTTTTCCTACCCTGCAGGGGTTTCATTAGAAGCTGGCAACCTGTGAAAATCACCGCCTACTTTGTCTGAATTTACCCCTTACCGCTGCCTACTTTGTCTGTATATTGAAAAAATTCATCAGTTTGCCACCTACTTTAGTTAGCTCACACGGCTATTTCAAAACTTGTTGAAAACCCTGTACCCTGCATGACATAGTGTACACGCAAAATAATTGCGAGAGATGTAAATATTTGACTGGCTAGGGAGGTGACAGGAAAAAATGTAATGGACTCCAAAAAGGATTTGAAAAAAGACGACAAGAACTCAAAAATAAAACTGTTGGAGTGATCTGTGCTCATAGTTCTTTAAACAACGTTAAAAACAGATCTAAAAAAAAGTAAAAAAATTGTCTCTAAATTTTCGACCGCCTTCTGCGGTCTTCTTCAGAGAATGATGATTTTGCACGATTCACAGAATTTTAATAAGCTGGGACGTTATTGTTGGTTGCCCCCTAGGGAGACAACCAGTGACGCGTAAACCCTTGGGAAGGGTGCTCTTTCATTTACGGAGTTTTTGTCTAAGCTTGTGTTAAGAGGGATGGTGTTGACGTTTTTCACAGCCACTTAAATTCGATAAACGCCAATATTCAGTCTACAGTAGAGATGCCTACAACAGCTATGGGCAAGAACAGCATAGCCTTCTTGGACACTAGCAACACCATTAATGAGGATGGTAAGATCAAGGTGGGTGTATACCGCAAGGCCACACCTATGAGCAAGTATTTAGACTTCCATTCACACAGCCTAGTGCAAAGCAAGAAAGCTGTCGTTAAGACTCTAATGGACCGAGCTAAATGCATTCCATCAACAACTGCACAAAGACAAAATGAGAAACGACGTGTTATTAGTGATCTAAAAGCTAATGGTTATCCCGAGAGCTTCATCAAGTCAGTTGGTGAATCAAACAGAACAAACACACAACCAAGACCCCAGGAGAATCCAAAGGCATATGCATCGATTCCATATGTGAAAGGAGTGTCGGAACGTGTTCAACGCATTTTGAGCCGCAAAAACATCAGGACAGCTTTCAAACCAGTACAAACATTGGGAAATGTTTTCAAGAAGCCCAAAGACTGGCCAACAAAAGAGCAATTAAAAGGCATTGTGTACAAAGTGACCTGTAGGACATCTTCTTTCACGTATGTCGGGGAAAGCAGAAGAAATTGGAAATCTCGGGGGGCCGAACACAAGCCCGGAACCAATGAAAATGTCAATTCCGCAATTAAACAGCATGTGGAAACTGGCCACGATATACATCCTATTTACACCAACATTCTTGAAACAGTTGTGAGCAGCAAGAACAAAAGACTGTTTCTGGAATCCTTGCACTCTTTCTTAGACAAAAACTCCGTAAATGAAAGAGTACCCTTCCCAAGGGTTTACGCGTCACTGGTTGCCTCTCTAGGGGGCAACGAACAATAACGTCCCAGCTTATTAAAATTCTGTGAATCGCGTGAAATCATCATTCTCTGAAGAAGACTGCAGAAGGTGGTCGAAAATTTAGAGACAATTTTTACTTTTTTAGATCTGTTTTAAACGTTGTTTAAAGAAAGGACTCAAAACATTTAACTTTTAAAAACATATGTTTACCCCTTTTTATTTTAAAATGGAAGTGACAAGCCTAGTATTCAACATGTGATTATAAGTTTCTGGTTGTACGCAACAGCACCTGTAAACTAGCTGATACATCCTGTAGACTCTGCTTATCATGTCTATGGGATGCACTGTTTACCATGATAGATAAGTGTGGGACCCAGTAAAATAGACCATAGCTATGTCTTTGCAAAAGTCATGATGCTTTTATTATTTAATTTATTTAATAATTTATAAACACCAATGAGGACAAGCACTGCCAAGATCTTTACCCACATACACTTGAGTCCTAACTGGGGCAAAAGAGTTTGGATTTAGTAGGTATTGTTCTTTAGAGATAACAAGTCATGTGTACTGACCTTTTTAGGGCCTCGTCCTTACCAAGAAATTGTAGCATTTAATGCCCAGCACACCATGTTGTCTGATTATGGTTCACCATTGGCTTTAGAACCAAGGCCACAAGGTACTTAATATCATTCCAAACTATATACTTGCATAATTTTGAGAATAGATTTCTGGGTTATCTTTTACTGCAGCTACATTTAATCTTTATACTTAAATAAATGCTGTTTTGGGAGAAATGTAAGCTCTAGACCTCTTGATGTTAGTTAATCTATTTTAGCAGTGGCTAAAAACTCTTTTGACTTAAACTGGACAGTATGTCTTCATCATTTTCCCCACCAGGGAAAGAGGGCCTTGCATTCTTGCTCACCAAACATCTTGGTTGTCAGCACATGTAAGCATCTAGCCAGCCTTTGAATCCAAACTCCCCCTTTTCCTCTCCACAGTTTGTCGCCAAGTTTCCCTAGGCCTTACATTTACATCTTACTGCTAGATTTCAATCTTCTTTCCTTCAATGTGAACTACTGGTTCAGAAATCTTTATTGATCACATAGTCAATTATCTCTTGAAGCCAGAAGGAGACTCATTAAGGACACTACTCCAGCTGCACTGTTCATTCAGTTGGTTAAGCTGCAAAGCATTTCTACTCAATGTTAATGTTCTTAACATGACTGTCAATGTATAAGTTTTAAGAGCTGACTCATTCTCTGTTTTGTTTGATGCAGTTCGGCATCCTGCAATGGATCAGCAAAATGGTAAGTAAAATGTTGCAGCTGTTAATAAGAGATACTGCATCAGATAAGAGAAGTTGAGAGAAAGAAGGAATAATTACTAAGACATGCATTGTGCATAGTATATGTACAATAAGCAGAGTAGATATTGAATGCCAGAAAAAATATATAACATGACATTAATTTGTTAACTAAACCTGGTTTTCACCAACGCATGAGCATAGGCATAAGGTGACATACACACAGTTAGTACAATACTGATAATTAGCACCTTTCAGTGTTCTCACCAGGCCACAGCCTTGTGGGATTTCTGCAAGGAAAACTGAGATGGCGCATTAAAAGCCAAGAAGATGCACTCGTATGTTAGGGTACAGGGGCAAGCTACAAGTTAAACAGACTTTAGAAAGCCTACAGTGGGTAACGGGAAAACACTGACCTCCGGGCCGCGGACCCCCACTACAGACCGGGTCCACGGTAAATTGAAGCATCCTTATTTTATGTATATATTGATCTATAAATTTAATTATTATAAGCAATATAGTAAAAACAATACAATGGACAGGTATATTTATACATTATGTTGTAATTGTACATCGACTCTGTTGACAGGCTCAGACCATGGCGAGGCAAATGTTGTGCTTCAGCCTACTGAACACAGACAACCCAGTGTTATTCCAGATAGCCCAGCACGACCAGGTGAATATTAAAATAATGCATAAAGCTTGATAGAGCTGTTTTCGATGGAGTGTCGCAAGTGTTACTTTGGTTTTGGTTTTGGTTTTATTATGGTTTAAGATTGGCTGAGTAGTCTAATTGGTAAGTAATTGGTTTAGTTTTGGTTTCACGACACTCAATTGAAAACGGCTCTATTAGTTTATTGGTTTATGAATTTGTAGAATTGACTTGTAGCTGTTATTGCGTGAGCAGTGATAAACTTTATAAGCTTGTCTTGCAGTACTAAAACCAGTGACCTTCACAATCATGGCATGAGTACTCTGTCAACAGCTCCATTTAAGGTGGCCAAACACAGTTTTTGGGCGCACTTATGTGATTCAGCGTACGCGTAAGGATTACAAAAAAATGAACGTGGCATTCATACAGCTATCATTTTACTTGGTCAATGCCTGCACTATCTGTGCTATTTTTCTTCCCAATTGAACAGAGTGTGTTGATGGTTTTAGTCATTTATTAGAAAGGTATGCTAGAAAAGTTAACGATGCAAAGAACAGAGCCAATCCCAGATTTTTCTTTGTTACTGAATGAACCCAGTTAGATACTCCTAGTCACTTGTCATGCTACAGAAACCAGGATAAACTCCAGCCTGATGGACCACTTGGCTCGTATGCAGACTTTTCCTTTACCTTAAACTTACTTTTCCTTTTTGATGGGCAGAGTTCTCAGAAATTCATGTTTCAATTACGTATTGTGATTTTATTTTATAGTTGTGTCAGACAAGGTTGCTCTTGTCATTGGAAATCAGCAATATGAATGTGACAAATTAAAGGGGCTGTTTTATTCTGAAAAAGACGCATATGATGTGGCTCAAGCTCTTTATACACTTGGATTTAAGGTGAGGACTAAAAGCATTATATGTTGTTAGGAGTTCTTTTAAAACAAAGGAGAAATGTGTTAGAAAAATGGCAACAGTACGGCACTGTACAAATACCATACTCGCCACCATCAATTTTATTCTACCATCATGTTCATTTAAAAAAAGTTTAAAAATTGTGACTTTGGTTTGCATTTAAGACGTGTATGTTATAGAATAGGGCCTTACCGCCTGCATTGATTGTAGTTGTGTCAAACAAGATTGAACTGATCCAGGATTAACATCAACTTCATATATACTGATTTCTTTTTTAACTAATAATTTGTCAATTAATTTTATGCCCAACTACATAGAGAAAATGCTTTTATTACAAGATCAATAGAACATTTTTAAACACTTATGACTTGATGATGTCTAAACTCATACTGTAGCTTTATGTTTTGCACATGACAAAGTTGTAAATAGTTCACCAGCTCAAAATACAGTAAAAACCTGTGTGTAAATTTCTGCGTAAAGGTTCTTAAATCCCTAGGTTCTTACACGCAGGTTTTTACTGTACTGTACCATAAATTTACAATAACAAACACCCATTTGGTGCAATTTAAGGGTTACAGATGTCATTGTCTGAGAGTATGACTGTGCATCTATGTAGTCAATAACTGAAGAAAGTTTCAACATGGATTTAATGGTTTGCTGTTTGTTTTGTCTTCTAAGGTTGTGGCATTGGTAAACCTAACCCTGAGTGAGATGAGGATTGCAGTTCTTTCATTTTGTAGATTGTTAGGTGAGATGAATTAAATGTCTTTCCAGGCCAGAATTTACAAAGGGTGGATAAATCCCCTCCAACAGATAAATTGCTATCCTTTCCAGTTTCTTTGTTGCAATATACCGTACATTGTACATACACTGTATGAAAATTCCCAGTGTGCCCTGACTTTTGAATATTGACTCTGCATTGGATTGTGTCATGTAAAAATACTTAACAGTCAACCGGCAATTTTTTAGTTTTGAACAAAGTTCTGAAACATGCCATATTTAAATTTTTGGAGTCAAACAATCAATTTTTCGACGTCCGCTCCATTACCTACTCATCCTTGCAACAGTTGCGACTTAGTGATCAGTAATATTGTCGTGGTTAAAACTAAGGGCAGATGACATAGATCGATATACAACGAGTTATTTAGGACCTCAGTTTAAAGTGAATAACAAACAAGTACAGAAAATTGAGGTTGGTTTACATGTAACAGAGCTTTGACCACATGAATGAAAGAATCAGTGTACAATCAAAAAAATCGTTATTAAAGTAAATGGATCAAAGAACCTTTGATGTTTGGTATTTGATTTAAGTCTTTAATGAATGATTGGTAACACTTGTGGGTTGTTCTGAAGGGACTTGAGGCAGTTGCACTCAAATACTGAGTTGGAAGATTTTGTATACTTAGGTAAGGGTGTTTATGGAGTCCTCTACTATGCTGGCCATGGATACGAGGATGGTGGGGAAAACTTTCTTCTTCCTGTTGATGCAAATCTGAAGTATGAGAGACAAGACAGTCTACGTGCTCAAGAAATTCTTGAAACCATGCAAGCTTGTGACACCATGCTAAACTTGCTGATCATTGATTCCTGTCGTATTAGGTAAGAGTTGAATAATTAGTAACTTGTTACACATGAAGTGATTCTGTTGAAACATTTGATGTTGCCTTGATTGTTATTTGTGTTTGTGTCTTCTTCATTCTCACATAGAAAATACCAGTTCTTTCCCTAGGATTATGCTTATTATAGTCCTTCTTTGTCTTGTGCCTTGTTGTTTGCACTGGTGATTCAAAACACCAGCTAAAGATGTTTTTCTATAAGTTTCTGTGACCTTGTTATTATGTTGCTGATGTTATACACAGCATCAGTTGAATTAAAATTCTAATTCAGTTAGTAATTAAAATTCATCCATGTCATCCCTGTAAACAGATTGCCATTTCTGTGACCTTGTTATTATGTTACTGATGTTATAAACACAACATCAGTTCAATTAAAATTCTAATTCCGTTATTAATTAAAATTCATCCATGTCAAATAGATTGCCGAACAAAAGTGGCACTGTACATTATTGTAAAAGAGGACCAAAAGGAAACAACATATTTGCATACTCTTGGTGAGTATACACTCACTGAGTCATATCCTTTTTACAAAGAGTTTGAAAGAGTGAAAATAAGCCACAAGAACTGACATTTCAGCATCCTCATGATGCCTGTTGTCAAGGTGATCAATTAAGAAAATATTCTGCGTGTCCTGTTCATGAAGAGAAGGACCTTTGCAAATATCCTGTTATAAGTTGTACATGGTTTCTGGAAATCAATTAGCATAATGTTATGAATATCATGATGCCAAGAGAACGTTTTTCACCAATCATGATATTTTGAAACTTACTTTACAGTTTTTGTTCATGAGTCTTCCAATTGCCCCTCCAACTTTAAGGGGTTTTCCTTAAAAAACCATGGGTATCGCAAAATTTTCATCTAATCCACAGTTCTTGCAGTAGTGTTTTGTTAGATGTTATGTGCGTCTCTCACTCTTGATTTTTACTTCATTTTGTTTTATTATCAAGGCTTAAGAAAGTCTCAAGGTCCTGATTTGTTTTTGACATCTTAATTAGAGTCTGAACATCTTGCGGTCACATTTGAAATGTTTTGAAGTCTTTGTCTCTCAAATGTCTCAGGCTTGCAAAGAAAAACACCAGAGCTAGGGCCAGACATGTGAATTACAGACAATGGGCATGCTCTTTTATCACAAAAAAAGAAATCATTAATCAAAAACAAGAGAAACATAACATGCAATATGGTGTAGCTTAATATACTCCTTAGCAAATAATCTCTCTTTTGATTTGAAAGTTCTTTGAAATCTTAGTTAAAGCTCTCAGCATTTAATTTCACTAAAAAATAGCAAAACAGTCTTAAACCAGAAGGTAATAAGGATACAAAAACTGCAAACTAGTCAGGGATTGTTGGGTGTAATTTATCAAAAACCAAGCTCTCAGAACTGAAATTAGACCAACTATATGAGAGGTAGTTATGGAAATTGATCAGTTGAGCTTGAAACTTTGTTGCAGCTGCTCTCAGCAGGAGGCTTATGAAGAACCAGAACAACCCAATGGTCTTTACGCTCTTCATCTCTTGAAACACATTGGAAGAAATGAACGAATTGAGCTCATCCTCATGGATGTTGCTCGGGGTAAGTAATATTCTCACTGTGTTGTGTTCTTGGGGTATATAGAGACAAACCTAACATCTGACATGGAGCTGTTTACAATAGAGGGCTTGAAAAAAGTGTGCCTGGTTGTCCGAGACAAGTAGATTTTCCTGCTGGACGAGTAACTTTTCATTCTCACTTGCCCAATGGGCAAATGCCCAGGCAAGTCTTCAACCACCTAAATAAACAAAAAGTAAACTAAGACTTGCGCAGGGCATGCAAAATTTGAGAGCTGCTTGCCAGAACGGCAAGCTGGAATTCAAGTTTTGTTGAGTCCTGGGATATCAAAAATATTCTGACTGCCAGGCTTGAGACTAACTGAACACAAAGACATGTTGAAGTTAACATTCACGTAGCTAAACATCATCAACTTACAAACTGCAGGATTGACTAGAACCATCTTAACCAAACTGTACATAGTAATTTGTCAACAACTGATTCAGTAAAGGTAATGCATGTGTTGAATTAGAGGAAACACACCTCAACAGATCCCAGTACCTTGAAAACAATTTATTCATCACTGAAACAAAACCAATAAAGACTATAAACAGAACACCTTTAAAAGCGAAATCTAATAGGAAATCAAGCAATTTCAGTTTTAAGTGGACAAGAATACCAGAATAGTGACAGTCCTTTTTGCATTTTCTAAAAGTTAAAGATAAATTGTTTGCCTGAAATAACACCAAAAGCAATTTCCCCTTGGAAGTCAAAGAAATAAATTTCAAAGTTCAGAAAAATTTGCAAACATTGGTAAAATCTCACCATCAGTGTCCTTTAACCAGTACTTTCAGGTGTTCCATATGAACTTCAGCATTCGTTTTCGATAAAATGATGTCTTTGAGAAGATATTTAAAACAGTCATACAGAAGTTTTCAATACAATGCAAATAATCTCGGTAGCAATTTTTTGTCTACTTGTTATTCAAACTTCTGGTGGACTCCCTCTTAATTTGGCCGACAGTAGATGGGTGAAAACCTATGGGAACTGTCAAATCACTGTTGACAAACTTTACACAAATCTTACCAGCTAGAGACTTTTTAGAATGCTGTAGTACAAAAAAATTACATCAATAAAGATGGAAAATACTGATTCATGAAGGTAGTTTTATTACTGTTCAACAGATGTCAGTAATGCCAATAGAAACAGAAATCTTATCCAAAGACCTTGCCATGAGAGCGACTCGGTTGTGGATTGTCGACTGACAGATCCCATTGAACCAACTGCTCTTACAGATGAGTTTGTGGAGCGAATGAAACTCTGGACTCAGGCTCATTGTAAGTAAAATCAATTGCAGAGACCATGCAAAAGTAGATGCGGCCTAGTAAGCCAAGTTTAGGCGTTAAGGTGATCTAAAATTTCTCAGGCTTCATCTAGTTGTTATTATTATTATTATTATTATTATCATTATCATTATCGTTATCGTTATCGTTATCGTTATCGTTATCGTTATCGTTATCGTTATATTGTTATCGTTATCATTATTATTATTTGCAATAACACAAGGGAAACGATACTTACAATACAATTACGAACAGTGCACTATACACTATACAACACTATACTCACTTACATTATATTGCTCTAATTATTTACACTGTTTAGATTACAATAATTACACGACTTACAGTACACTACTTTAAAGCAACTTTGCGACCGACGAGGTTGTCATTAATTACCTTTAGTTGCCAGAAAGGGGCACTAGAAATTCTAAGGAAAGCACTTATTGGATTAATTGTTTAGAGAATTTAAACAAAATAGACCCTGAACTTATATTTTGAACCATGTTAGTTAAACAGGAGTTACGAGAGAACAAAAGAGAAAAAAAGCCAGAGGTTTGAGAGGACGGAGTGAAATAAAGCCTGTGATCTTTTACTGAACGAGAGCTCATCATTTTATTTGCTCAATCTCCCAAGCCCTCTGCCCATTTTTAGTCACCCTTCTCTAGGCCTCTCTCTTGGTAACAGAGCGGCTCAATGGTCCACAGCATGCTATTTCAGTTTGGGGTCTTAACATTGAATTCCTTTCTTTTACAATTATTTTTAGGTCTTCCAGATTCAATTCCTTCAATCAATAAAGATGGAGTGATCATTTCATTTGAGTGCAGGCCTGTGTTTTCTAACGTAATGGACCTGAAGATAGCCGCTCTAAATGCAAACCCCGTTCCACTACACCAAGTTGTCATGGAATTAGAAGTACCTCATGTAAGTTGTTATTTAACTGTGTTTTAAAGGAGCTCAGTCACGTTATTTTGAGTTATTTTGGCCGCATACAAAATTACCTTTAAATGGTAGGAAACCTGAAAATAACAGTTTAATAAGATAGAAAAACACCAAAGAGATAATGATGAACCATAAAGGAACAAGGTTGGCTAAGGATGGAGAAGATAAATACGGATTACAAACTACGAATTTGAAAAATTGAGGCTAAACTTTTCAATATGCGCAAAGCGTGACTGAGCTCCTTTAAGGCAGGGGTTTCATTAAGGGCCGGGCACCGGGCAAATTGACCGACTGTGCAGAAGTGCAGACAATGTTTCCCTCCTGGTTTGACCTTGTAGAGGTTTTTTCTAGAAAGAAGTTCAGTTCAAAAAGTTTTGCACGCCTTTGAAAACCAGTTACCCTCCTGCTGAGAATGTTAATGAACCCCCTGTTTTAAGGCGTTAATAATTTATTTTCCATTTATCAGTTGTTGCTCCAATCACGGTATCAAAAAACTGCCCAGTCATTGGTGAACACGTTATCATTTCATGACACAATAAGTTACCATAACAACAGTATGACCTATTAAAAACACCCTTAATTCTAGCTTAAACCGGCTAATAACTCAAAACCTAGCCTAGTGAACTCCATATGATTTTGATTTGCAGGGTAAGACGCAACCTATTGTAAAGTTAATGTTGCAGTTCCTAGGGAGTAATGCTTTAATTATCCCGACAAACACAANTTTAAACAATTGCTTAGATGGGGTTGAGAACCATCTTAAATTTTTGACTGCAAGGTGGCTCCCTCTCCAGTTCACAGCAAGCACTGTCTTACCCACTGGGATAACATCTTTTTTTTTGCAGCCTGTTAAAGCCAAAGTTCGTCTTCTTTCCGGTGAAGAACTTCTCGAAAATGGAGGCATGTTACAACAAGTGGTGCAGCTATCCCATCTACAAAAGTTATTGGTATGTTTCATATTCAAGTTTTTTGTTTCTACAGTGAGTTCCTCTTAACAGGCATCTTTGTCATGCTGATGCATGGAATAGATTCCCTCTTAACCTACTCTTCTGTACGCACAGAAAACATGCCCTTTTAACGATGTTTCAACTCAGTGGTCCATTAGTCCATCTTGGCTTTTTTTTCCGAATTTCACATTATGAAGTAATTGGGGTTGTTTCTACACCTCCCTGGATGAGATGTTACTTCGTCGTAGGGTTATCCCCCCAGCACAAACTTCACTGGTACCCATCTATGCACGCGGGCGGAGAGAGACGCTGAGAGAGTAAAATGTCTTGCGTAAGAGCACAACTCAAGGCGCGGAACCCGACATAGGACTCGAAACCAAACCCAAAATGAATAAACAAAGGAGACCTTTGTTCGTATTAAAAACATCTCGTCCCTTTTCTCTTAACCCACAGGATCCACTTGTGGTAACATTCAAAATCTATTACCTCATGGGCAATGACAGTATAGATTGGCAGGCCCCAGTCCGTCTCGGCTGCCCTCTGGTGTCGTCCGTGTTCGTTCAGTGGGACTGGTGGATAACGTGTGGCAAATTACCAGGAGTGAAATGTACTCAGGTGTAAAGACAGTCGCTTCAAGATCAGGTGCTGAGCTGTTGTATGGTAGATCAGAGTACACAAGTGTCCTTCTCGTGGAAGGGTATAGACAGTTACATAGCAGTCCTGGTGGGCGCTCGGCGAAAAACTGATGTGGGGACCTTAAACACAAAAAGAATCCTCTTTTTGCAAAGCGTGACGCAAAAAAATACTAAATCAGTGGCGGATCTGGGCCGGCAGGGCAAGGAAAACAAAACCGCCCCGTTAGCTCAAAGTCTGGATCCGCCACTGCTAAAAGTGCAATTTTAATGCCTTTAATTAATTCTTGGCACCTCCCCGCACTTTATCTTTGAGGCCCACTAGGGTCATTCCCTGATGGGAACATTTTGCGAAGCCTATGGATCTCAACATAGCAGTTCTGCTAAGGCCTGTAGAGGGGCTTCACGGCGATTCACATAAGATAGAGTCAAAATAAGCCAATCCGCGTCCCGTCAGTAACATGCACCTGTAAGGAAAGCATGCAAGACTGACTTGTTAGCTCCGCCATGTTGACTATGAGCATTTCACCACATTTTCAGTGGTGACAACTTACCTTTGTGCAACGAAACTTGCGTTGCCCTCAGACGTCTTCTCTACTAAGGACAGATCACATTATGCTAGTTACTTTTGGGAGACAGACTGCAAGCGGTATTCTGTCATCCCACTGAAATAATAGCGAGTGAATGCGAAATTCGCGCGCGCTGAGCGTGGAAGCCGCGAGAACCCTGGATCTGCCTTCTCGTGGTGTATTTAATTTTTATTTGAAAGTGTGGTCAAGGGAGCTACAAACTTCGCTGTGCATGTTTCTTAGCTTTTTGATTTTGTAACATCGCTATTGTTTTGGTAGTTGTTTTTTCTTGGAGACTGCCAAGAGGACGAATCGTGTTTTACCTAAGAACCATAATAGCACAGACTCTGAAGAGAACTCCTCAAGATCCCTCTTGCTTCTAATTTAGAATCTTCCAAATCTCCTGAATCTCCAATCCAGTTTTAAACAGCAGATGAAATTTTCGTTAAATGATTGAAAGATTTTGGGGCAAAAATCCGTGATGTTTACGCTGCTCTAGGATTTTGGGGTATTAATCCGTCATGTTTATGCTGCTCTAGGATTTTGGTACTCACCGTGCGCAATGACCTCAGTCAAGTATTTTGTCCGTACCTTGGAGAAAGGCAGTGATTACAATTTCCTAATGGAAAACTTTCAGGCTATCTTACTCTGCCAGGAATTCAGGGAATCATAAGGTTTCTCATCAATTTATCGTAGCACAGGATAGAGCTGTTTTCACGTGAGGGTCAAAATGAAAGTAATTCGCGTTCGCTTTGATGTCGCATTACCACGCTACTCGATTGGCTTAAAAAAATCGCGCCACTTTCTTATCGAATTAGAAGTAAAACCAAAACCAGTTGCGACTCGATCGCACGTCTTCCCGCGCTTTGTGCTGGTGACGTATTTGCTTGGAGTGTTGATTGGTTTACTGGATTGTCCACGTCCATTGTGATTGGCCAGAGTGACTACTTTGGTTTTTATTTTACTTCTGGTGTTGATTGTCGTATTTCGGCTACTCGTAGTCTTCGCGCTTAGAGCTATATTTATTCATTAAAATCTCACCGTCATTGAGTTTTAATTCAATTTCAGTCCGCGTTGTGTGTGACTGGATATTTCTGAAATGACATATTTATAATATGACTATTTTATTATCGCTTTCTTCTAAAAGCGCTATTAATATTAACGCTTTCTTCCCTTTATGTGAGGGTTTTTGCAATATTAATGAAGATTTATAACTATTTTTAATTGCATTATGAAGCCTGGATGATTTAAGTATTACCTTTCAAAAAATTTAAATCTAACAAAAGATAAGTGTAAATAAAGAAATAACATATTTGGCTTTATTACCAATAGAGCGGATCTTTTGTGGAGAGGGGGTGAGCTGGCAAGGAAGGAAATATCTACCTACCCTCTCCACCCACCCCACAAACAAGATGTATGACAATGTAATTGTTCGACTTACTTCGTATTTTCATCTTGGAATTAAAGGAATGTGTAATATGATGATTTTGTCGTAGTATTTCTTAGCATATCTTTGGTAGCAGTTGCGTTATTTCGACACTGTCGGTAGCAATTCGGAATAATTTCTGCCACCACCACTCTTTCTCTGGACGAGATGCTAGTCAATCGCGGGGTTTTCCCTTAGAATTAAAGTCGCCGGTTCCCATTTATACACCTGGGGAGAGAGAGGCACTGTTGCCCGAAGAACACGACACATTGACCCTGGTCAGTGCGTCCGGAGTCCAGCGAGCGCACTAGACTACTGCGCCTCCCTTACACAGTAAGTTTTGTGCAGTAAGCATACAGCCCAATGCCGAAAGGTATTGTGGGCAGACATGGTTTACTGTTGTTTGATCGAAGTTTACGTGTCCCGGCGCGAAGGAAGGAGAAACATCAGATACAAGAATTCACTATTTTTCCTTCTATCATGCTGAAACACCGTGATCTTCTACCAACTGTTGTGTGTTTGCTTGCTTGCGTGGTTCTTTTTTAGCTTTGTTTTATTTGTTTGTTATTGTTGTTTGCTGTGAGATAGGGCGGAGGGCTTAAGCCTCGTGTGGAGAGAATCACGAGAGGGGGACTGGGTGCCAGGTTCAGGCAGACCGTTTGGGTGCAAAGCGTGATCCATGATTTATCGATTACTGCGATTGACAACCTTGCATCGGCCAGTCATAACCAGGCGATCCCAGCCGACAAATAAAATTAATCTGCTGCTAAATTTTTGAACATAAGGAATTTACTACCAAAACTATCCTAGTAATATATAAATCAGGCAGCCTGTGTATTTCCATGAGCTTTAATTTTGAATTGCTGTTAATTGTGACAGAGATCGAGTTCATTCGCTTGTCCATTCATTAACCTGGGACAACCGAGTCCCCGTTAAATGAACAGCCACGTTAAGTCGTAGTTTTTTGGAGCCTCTTCTTAGAGTTCCCTCGCGTGATAAGACGCCGACAACAACAGTTCGAGTGGATCCGCTGCTGGTGTCCTTCAGTAACACACCGGACCCTGAACTTCCTCGGGCCGCATCACAGTCATTCCAAATGAGACCGCTGGTCACTTTGAGCGCGCGACATTTTGACATCCAAAGACTGCTAGGAGCTTTGTCACTTGGAAATCCTGTGTAGTAAAGCAAAATCAAATAAAATATACTTTGACCAATTACAACTCGCCGCCTGGCCAAACACTGGAAAACGAGACAAGTCGAGCAGATGATGCTTTCCGTGTTTCTATCGAGTTTTAGTGTAAATCTATTAGCGTTCTATCGCGAATGCCGTTCTCTGATTGGTTACGCCACCCACTATCTATTCTGTCGTATCAAGAAATGGCCCATTGTAGTGAGTCAAATTCGTCCAAACAAAAGCCTTTTGTTGTTTGTTGCGCTTAGGCAATTGTGCCGAGATTCCTCGAAGATGGATTTCAAATCGTCGCAAAATTGTCGGCGTGTCAAATTAGCGGCATTCGGGGAAAGGGGTTTGGAAAGTTGCACATTAAGGTGCTGTTAACACAGGGGTACCCAGGGGAGAAAATGCGCTTCAGTATGCTTAATTGGTTTCTCAGTCAATGTGTTTTATGCATCAGCGAACCGTCTGATATGAAAACGCGAACTCTGATTGGTTCCCTAGCGGCACGAATTTTGTAATACGAACCGTTTAGATGGCCGCTCACGAATTAATTTGGCCAATTGCTTTTTCTCAGCTCATTGCACAGAATAGACAGTTTTTTGTTAAGTAGAAATCTTTTTACTTTCGTGTTTGGATCGAGGACAATTTCAGTGCGGCGAAATGAGAAATGTACATGTAAATAAATACTTCCGTTTTGTGCGCGCGCTTACCTAGAATGGGTCGCAAAGACGCATCAATTTATCAGCAGATTAAAGAAAGCCATTATAATAAATACTTTATTGAGTTACCTTGTTCGGTCTGTATTTAAGAATATTGGTTTCGTTCTTTTTTTCTTCAGGTTTATGAGGGTCTCCCAGGGGTTTTGGGGAACAAGGGAACATTGGCAAAATATCGAAGGGAACAAGGGAACATTAGCCAATTTTAGGGAACAGGGGAACAAAATTCGAAAAATTACAAAGGGGAACAAATAACGAAAATGTGTGGGAACATGGGAACATAGGGCAATTTTGGAAGAGAACGAGGGAACAAAGACCCCCCCTGAGAAACCCTCGTTTATGGAACTAGCCTGTGACTCGACCAATTCAATAAATAAATAAATAAATAAACTCTACCAATATTTCTCCAATACGGACCTCACTCTACTTTGATAGCATTCATATCATCGCTTACCCGTGATGGAAATCATAGAACCTGTAGGCAAAGACATTGATGATATATGAACAAACGATCGTCGATTTGGAAGACCACGTAACTTCAACACTGCGTAATCGTCATCTTTGCTGATTTTCCATCGCAGTGGAACGTAAGCTTTGCTCACACCATACCACTGTAGTCGGCCATTTCGCTCCAGGAAGCCAGCTTGAAGCGTAGCAACGTTCACGTCGTCGATGCAATGCGCGCTTGTAAGCACGTGACGTTGACCAATCAAAATGCCGGAACACGACCAGGAACAGAATCCTTTGCAGGATACCTTACATGCGGCGGAGTGCGGTGACTTCTGGGCTTTGCTCGAGGACGGAAGGTTTTTTCGTTCATCTTCTCCCACGATCACTCGCTTGGCCCTTACACGTTGATTTATGTCCCTGATAATTTCAACAGAGATTAAATCTCACGTTAACGACAAATGTTATTTCTCGTCGGTACAAGTTATAGTTATCACTAAATTAATAATCGAACTGATAAACTCGATCGAATTGACAATCAACTTTACGAGTATAAGGTATTTATCGCCTTTAAAAAATTATGAAAGTGTCAGTTAATGTATTGTTTCAGAATTGGTACTTCTTAGGGGTGAAAAAATTTCAAGCCACGCCTACAAGACAAGATTTTGGTACTTATTGGTCCAGGGGAAAAAATGATTCTCGGATGAATGACTGGATACGGAATCGTATTATATTGTTTTATTCGATCTATAAGGAAGATACATAAGATACATAATTCTTAAGAAACCTAATAGCGAGCGATTCATGAAATTGCATGGAAAATATAATTATCAAAATTCAACGGGTTANAATCAAATAATCAAATGTCAATAAACGAAGTTAATATTAATCAACGAAACACTTATCATGGGTTTTTTTAAAAATTTCCGAGGAGCACCCCTGTCCTTTTTATATGGGAGTCCCCCCGGAACAAAGTGGTGCAAATATATTTAGCTCATCACTCAACGTACACATGTAAATTCATAGCAAATGAAGATAACCGGTTTCGACACTACATTCTTCAGGTATATATAAGATCAGCAGAGATTTTTCTTCGTAAACTGCCTGGAAGTATTTCTGAAAACCCTCAGTAACATAAAAAAGGTTTCCCTCGTAACTCTACCCGTGTTGTTTTGTGGCGTTTTTGTTCCTTGTCTGCTTGGATGTGTGATACTCATCTGCGTGCAAATCCTTCTTGTCCTCAGCTGGTCCTCTTGCTCTTTTTAAAGTTACGGTTCTTTTTCCTTCATTCCAAATCGTCTCGTAGCTGAGACAAAAAAAAATGGCACGATTAATAATGTTATTTCTAGGAGAGGTTTTTACAAACATCCTCTCTCCTCCGCAGATTTTCGAAACGTTCGTTATAGAAAGCCGCTTTGCGGGGTGAGTGCGGGCGCAAAGTAGGCTGGGTCCCCGCGCCTGCACTCCTACCATTCAGCGGATTCTTTCCACCCGAAAAGCCCCTTTGAGCCTCTGCAGAGGAGAGAGACAAACATCCACCAAAGTTACAGAATGAGTCAGTGTCAGGTGATGTGAAGGAGAAGGCAACTCCGAAATGGGCTATTGCGTTCACCGTCCGCCACAAAGACATACCTCAAGTCGACCTTTTGTTTAATCCTTCGCTCATTGCGAAATCAAAAGACCAGGGACGTATTAGTGGAAAGGACTTATAAAATGTCTACCTGTCACATTGCAGGGGGGGTTTACGCAGGTACGACGGCGACGCCGCGGACAACGCCGATTGTACTTACGAATTTCACGTTTATCTGGCTCTGTTCAGTGTGTCTACGGGTGTCAGAACTATCAAGAACTTGACATGTGCAGACAGTACTCAGTTCTAAACAGAAACATTAGCATTTCACCGTCGTGGTTCAAGTTTTCCAGAGGACGCAGACTTTGGTCATTTTACGATCTCGTTTGCAGACGACGGCAACAAAATCAACCAAGATTTAAAGCGCACGTGCGTAGCCATTCATTTTTCTTCTTATTAACCTTTTGCAGCCGTCGGCGGTAACGGCGTGGTTTACGTAAGCTCCCTCGTGGACCCGCAAAGACCCCGGAAACTAAGCTAATAAATTTCTCATTAAAACCTGAAAGCTTTTAAAATTTGAATAAATTTTCGTCTCTAATCTTCTTTTATATCTCCTGAACATTCTGGAAGCTATTTAACTCTTTTACTTCAAGTCATCACCAGTATACAGACGTCCTGTTAAGACAATTTAATTCGTGGGTGTAATGCTGGAAAGATGTCTTAAAACATTTGATGTCTTAAACATTTGACTAACGACTCTTTCCGTCATCATTTAGGCTCTGAGTTTTAGTTAACAACTTTCATTAATGAAGCGATGCCAGTTCGTAAAACCGCCTACTTGTCACACGTAATGGACACGAAAATTGTCGTTAAAATTTTGGCGGCGAAAATCAGTGATGAAAACTTTCAACTTTTTAAGACAAGAGAGGATCAAGAATATTGCTCAAGACCAGTCCCAGAAAAAACTCTTACGAAAAGTAATAGAATTAGTAAGGGTAATCAATAATGAAAGAGTAGTTTTAACCAATTAATGCATGTTACCTCAATTCCAAGTCTTCTGTAGTCAAGTTGAAAGAAATGGCCAAAAACTCCCATGAGATATTGGAACGATGTCGCAGTTGTATTGTGATCGTGTCGTCATTCGCCGATCTTCGTGACACTTTACCTTCCAGAAAACGATTATCATTGTTGTAATTAGCGTCTGATTCTTCGTTGACTGATTCAAGTTCGGATTGTGACGTCAGCCTGCAACATACAGTAAAAGAAATGTATCTTTTAAGTATTTTAGAAAACTAGCGAAATTAATGACGAATTAACAACGTTTTGGTGTCCTCGTGACAGCATTGTCAAGTTCGAAATGTTAAAGGAGCTCAGTCGCGCCGATATTTTGCGTTATTTGAGCCACGTACAAAATTACCTTTAAATGTTAGGAAAGCTGAAAATAACAGTTTAATAAGATAGAAAAACACCAAAGACATAATGATAAGCCATAAAGGAGCAAGGATCGCTAAGGATGGAGAAGCTTAACACGGATTACAAACGACGAATTTGAAAAATTGAGGCTAAACTTTTCAATATGCGCAAACCGTGACTGAGCTCCTTTAAGTGCGATGATATAATCTTATTCACAAATATTATTGTACCTTACATTTTGAGCTGTCACGAGTGCGGAGAAACGTTGTTCGTTATTTATTTCACAAGTTTTCATCCTAAAATGTTTATCTATAACTTCTCTTATTAGAATTTTAAGTATCTATTTTTGAAACTCTCTGCGTTCTTAAAGGAACTCAGTCACGGTTTGCACATTTGCAAAAGTTTAGCCTAAATTTTTCAAATTCGTCGTTTGCAATCCGTGTCAATCTTTGCCATCCTTTACCATCCTTGTTCCTTTATGGTTTATTATTATCTCTTTGATGTTTTCCTATCTTAGTGAGCTATTATTTTCAAGTTTCCTTCCATTTAAAGGAGATTTTGTACGTGGCCAAAAAAAAAAAAAGACAAAACACAGTGACTGAGCTCCTTAAAGTAGGTCGCAAGCTTTTTACGGTTTTCCGGCGTTGGCACTTCAACCCGGTGTCCGTCCATACCTCATGGAGTTACTTGTTAGGGTTAACAGAGATATGCACATATCAAGAATAATGCTTCAAAGACAAGGTTGCCTTTTTCACAGATTAAATGCACTGTTTAAAGCTCGACGCTTCACCAGCATCCTGCTGACTTACTAAAAATTTTGGCTTAGTTAAAAAGTCGAATGTTTCAAAACGAGTAAATGCAGACTTGTGGACGCACGTGCGGCCGTGCATACGTGCGGAGCGTTTAGAACGCGAAAAAACCCGTTTATAGGAGAAATATGAAAATATGTTTACACTGCGAAAATGTTCCATATATCCTTGCTCATGCTTCTACTTAATCGTGAATCAAATCCCTTAAAATAAGGAGAACTGAGAAACAGATTGACTGCGAGTCACTGTAAAGGGAAAGAACATGTGTCTTGCTCAAGAACACAGCACCAGGACCTAGGCCCCTGTCGTCGCGGTGTTCAACTTGTTCTACAACTTTCTTTTTACGCCAGATGATGTTAGGGTTTATGTATTTTTAAAAGTTACAATCGAGCATATTCCGCCAACTAAAAATGAATCTGCGTAAATTTATCTTTGATTCAAGGCTTCAACTATAACAAACGAAAGAGGCACTTCGTCTTTTCACCGATATCTAAATCCTATATGGCTTGACTATGCGATAAGGCATTTTATAGACCTTTCAAATTAGTGATTCGCGTCACTTCTGAAGAGAATCTTAGCTCGACGTCAATTGAATTTTAATGTTAATAAACAAAAACAAAAAGATTGAATTCACTCACGTACGAGGAAAAAGTTAAGTCTGGCAACATGGAAGATAAATCACTCTTTTTTAATTCAATTTAGAAAAGATAAAATACGAAAATAGCATTCTTGTTAATGTGGTAGCCTTTACTTAAGTAAATGTTTATTTTGAAACGGGATGTTAAACAGACATTTATACTTGACGTTATAATATTCTACTAACACATGTTCCTGTAAGAATTTTCTAGTTTGTTCTGTGTAAAAACAGCAACCCACGACTGATCATTTGAAAGGTTAGTTAGGTCGCAAAGTTATATTGGTCTATTGCGATAAAAAAAGTAGTTTTTAGTGTGCTTGAGATATTTTTTAAAAACTAATCCTAGTTTTAACGAGAGCTGTATTACTCAGTACCGTTTATTGTTACTATAGCAACGTGTTACGAACATCGATCTTGGTCAAATTTATCATTCCGAGTAGTTTTCATGCTAAGTAAGTGCGTTTTTTTAAGTAAAGTCATATTCCAACTGAAAAATATCGCTTGACACAGAAAGAGGACATTTAAATGTTTCAAGCTAGTTAAATTTCCCGTGTTCCATATCTATTGACCCTAATGCTTAACTTTGTCGTTAGAAAGAAAAACTGATTTTTCATAGACACGGTTGATTTTCGAGGTCACATAATAAAATTATCCATGATGTTGAAATCGCTCTTAACTTTCTTCAAAAAAATAAATATATATACTTATATTATGCTATCGTGTAACTTCATGTTAAAACCTTCACTCTACTCGCAGACTATCGTAAAGAATAAAAATGTAATATATATCAGTCTTTAAGCCACTGGGTTCCAGTGTTAATCGGGTTTCCTACTGCTGAAACAAACGATTTCTCAATTTATTAAGGACGATAGAAAGTCTGTACTATTGAAGGTTGGCTTGTACATCAACGTATGTAATTACCCTCAACACAGTCTCAAATGCTCAGCTTAAAACTCAGTCAGACTTGTGAAACAACCTCTACTCGTAAAGGTGGATGATAGTTACCTCACAGCTTGAAACATCAAGAGCATTAAGAGAATTGCTTTCATCTTCAGGGGTACAAGAAGTGAACAGGTTTTTACCGCTCCAGTCCGGCCGAACATTCTGTACTTTGCCTCGCCCGGCAGTCAAATTTAATACGACGAGGTGTGTAGCAAGAACAAAAGAGATCACTGTTTCCTTCCCTATCCGGCTGCAATTTTAGATATCGATTTATGGAGAGCTTTTTTAGGGACCATGAAGAAGGGAAACCAGTCAGTACATATTTATCGGTTTAGTGCGAAAAATGTTAAATTTCTTTTCTGTTTTATAATTTCTGAAGCGCGTATCACCTGCGTAGGTTATTTAGGGAAGTCGCCGGAAAGATTATTGATAAAGAGTTCATTTGCCTCCATTCAAAAGCAATTTGGTTTTTGTTAAGAAATTGTTAATGAGTTTTAAATGAAAGAATAAAATGAATAATAGCATTTACCCTCCAATTCTTGCTCCTTGGAGCAAAAACACGGATAGTAGAACATTTGTTTTTACGTAAACGGACAAATCAAAAGTTTGTCTCAGATGTTAGAGCTTCCTTGTTTATCGAAGAATTAGAAAAACAATTTATAGGCAAGAAGTTTTGAAACAGTTGTTTTAATTTGCGAATAAATATACGACATAGTTTTATTGCATAGAGAACAAACTTTAACAAGAAAGCTTGCCTTATCTTGACAGTTCAAGAAAACACGACCCAAAATTATGGAGAACATCACTTAAAAGTAGAACTTAATGAAATATTCATATTTGAGCGCTAAAATCGTGCAAAAAACATTATTGTTTTATTTATGGAAAGATGAAAGCAAATTTTAGAGAGAGAACTAACCAAAACAGACAAGTCGAAAATCGCGTTGTAGGTTACAAATTGTTGTTGTACATTCTCATTTCATGATAAATAATTCGTTGATCTTTGTATATTCTATATATATGGCATCTTAGCTACAAGTTTTGGTCTTTCGCAGTTTAATATTTCCGGCACCTTCGTAAAGCGTTGTTTTTGTCCAAAGCAAAATTATTTGAGTGAAGAAAAACCGGCTTATCCTATGTTCTACTATCTCCGTTTCGCATTTCTTTTCTTCGTTTGTGTGACAATCGGCGAAGGTGACTGTACACAGTGACTACGTAGCTAAATGTCTAGACAAAACCTATATTACTAAAGTTTCGAACGATCTTGAACTAACAATGAATAATTCAGTAAACGGACGTTGCAAAACTACCGATCTTCCTGGCAACATTTTCAACAAGACAAAACATTTTTATAAAAACTCCCAGAATAGTTTCTCCGTATGAATAAAGTGGATTCTGCAAACGTGTTAATTTACTTAGAAACATTTTCACCTCTTGGAAACCATTTTTATTAATTACGGTTTATGAAGTAACTTTTAGGAACACGTGTCGAAAAATAAGGAAGGATTTAATTTACGTTCTGTTATTTAACCTGGCAAAATTTACAAGATTGCAAATGAGCATATTTACTGGACACTTTCTTACCTTTTTGGGAAAGCTAACTGGATGAAAAATATTTGGCTAGTTGCATGATAAACAAGAACATATTTTGCTGTACAGATGGATTTAGCTTAAAGCACAGTAATTCAGTCAATAATAACAATGTAATTTATAATGATTTTATCGAGTCGACAAGTTTTTAGTGAATGTGTCTTAATTGATGAATACTGCAAAATTAACGTTGAGTCAGTTGTGTGCATGCTAAATTAATATTAGCTAGCACAAACGTGCTGTACGGCATTTTGCTGACCAGCTCACGTCAGAAAGTGGTCCAGCGATACATACCGCCAACGCAAACTAACCCTTTTCTTCAAAACTCCAAGGAAGTATGATAATGCTGAAAATTACTTCTTCAGATCGGTCTTAGCAAAATACCAATTCCCAGCAACTATCAGTATTTTTTAACTGATCTGATGATTAAAATTTTGAAACAAAAGCCCATACAACAGTTAATGCTCTTGGTGTCAATGAACATGATTTCTGATAAATTCGAAAAAAGGACATTCGTGGCAAATCAGTTAAATCTCTAGCGCACAATCCCTCAGCCCTGCCGACTTATTTCCGTTAATCAATGTCTGTTGTTCGTGTTTCGGAAGCTAATTTTGGACTGTAATATTCTAGAAAAGGAGTCAGTAGCTGAATAATCTTTTAACGCGTTGACGTAAAATAATCAAGATTAGCGGGGTACCGAGTTGCTAAAGTGCAGTTTGGCAAGACATCCCAGCTGTTCGGACAATGTTCAGCCGGCACTAATGCATAATAATAACAACTGGTCGGCTACTGTTCCGAAAGAGAAGAGGGATTAAATTTCGTGCAGAACCGAAAAAGACACTTCCAGAACCATGGCGAAACATATAAACACCCCTGACTTTACTTAAAATAATCTATTTACTTAGCTTTTGCTTGAGATGTTGAGAAGTTCAAGAGGGAAGCGATCTTATTATTTTATCATAACCTGTCTACTGATCTACTAAATGTACAAAGTCGATTTAATTATTGACGTTAAAAATATACGAAAAACGAGTTCTCCGAGTAGGTGCCTGTGTAGCTAACTGAGATTGTGAGCTCTCTCAATAGCCAGTCGCTCACATTAAAAGCTTTCTTGCATGGACAACACACCACGTATGAAATGAAACTATTTGTCAGTGGACTGAAGAGATAGAACGACTCTCCTCGAAAGACGTTCAACGACGTCGGCTTGAATCATTTATCTTCAGAGGTTTCTTTTACAAAAGGTTGGGTTACCCCACTGAACGGATTTAAAGTGTCGATTTAATTTGCGTTTAAGGCGACGTTCCACAATACGTCGGGGAAATTTGAAAACTGACGTTTCATTTTGAAAACGCATCAAATGTTTCCGTCCACACTACGCTGGAGGGATTTAAAAACGCAATAATCACCGGTCATTTTGGATTTTTATTTGAGGAAAACTCGGTCAGGGAAATCACGTAGTTATCGTCATGCCATCGTTTTCGAAAAGGTTCGTTTTCGTGGCGGATAAGTGTGGACGGTGGGCCTAACCGTAGAAATAAAGCTGCGTTTTCAAATTTCTCCGGCGTAGGGTGGACGCTGCCTAAGGCCTGGGTCAAACGTCGAACTTCGCAAGAGTCGAACCTAATGCAATGGCGCAATAGCTTTTGTTTTGGGTCTTTTGCGTCATGGATTCGATTCATGCGCAGTTCGTCAATTGCGCATGAACTCGTAATAATTAACCCATTTGTTCGTAAATGGTCAGAGTTTACATGATTCTCTCAAGGCGTTTCCCGACGGTGTTTTAGTTAAACTAATCCATTTAGAAGATAGCGTATTGCTATATTACAATGTAAAGTTAAAGCTGATCGTAGTTAGTGGAAGGGAAAGGTGTCTGTAAAGTTCTATGAACATAAAATTGGAAATATAAAATTATCTTTAGGCAAAATAATTGATAACAACTGCGAAAATAGATTTTCCGAGCTAAAAATATGTTGCCATTGCAATGTTTTTCTTAATTGTTTCAAATGTATCCGCTCAAAAGATTGAACCCACAAATCCCTCGAGTAATTTTGTATTATGATTTTCTTCAAACCATGCCCATTACCAGAAGTTCGTTCTAAACAGGCGCACTAGAAATGAAAATTTTAATAAAAGTAATCTTAAACTATAAAATGAGAGCTTTTTGCAAAGCTGCCAGGGAGACCTGCTTGCAATACGATTGCAAAAAAAGAAAAAATGGATTATATATATCTCAATTTTCAATGCAAACAATTTTGCTCCGGCAGTATCTCCCTTCTTTTCCTCCTAGCACTAAAGCCGTAAAGGAAATATTTCCGCTAAAAATAAGCACGGGTCTATATTTGAACAGACCCTCACACGTGAGAAAATCTATACATTGAACAGACAATTTATGTCACTCAGTTTCCTTAAACCTGTAATGAACCATTTAGAGATCAGCCTGACCAATATGAAGGGGTCGTTTTAGACTTGAATTCATGAAGGGTTAGGGAGTTAGTCACCTTATAGGCCTTATTCCCAAGGTTATGGCCTCTCAAGTCATTAAGGAGTTTGAGAAGCCACGACGGCGGCGCCAAGGACAAAGTCCATTAAAAAATGAACTTTTATCATACCTACGAATCTCGCGATACCCTAAAGTGATTTAGTTTGTTTCTCACTGTCAAAACTATCTCGAAATTGAATATAGAACGCAGCGTTAAATTCGGAATATAAATTTAAAACATTATCCGTTGTGGCTCACGTTCTCCAGACAAGGCAGAATACGGTCATTTCACGTTGTCCTTTTGCAAAGGACGGCAAAGAAATGTATCAAGAATTACAACACACGTGCACAGCCATTGTTCCGCTCATTAAGCCTCGGCCAAACGATCGCAACATATCAACACAACATATCGCAACATTGTTGGCCCAGCATTTGCAAGCCCCGGCCAAACGATCGCAACATTTCAGCAAAACATATCGCAGCATTGTTGGGTGCAACATGTTGCGCGCGTTTGGCCATCATGTTGCGATGTGTTGCGTGATGGTGGGTATTGAAAATCGAACTAGTGCACATGCACACTATAATATTATGCAACATCCACAATTTAACAAATGGTAAACGCCATAGCGTGTACTATTGTGTTATGGATGCACGCGGGAGGCTGCTAAGCACGAAAGAAGCGTAAGAGTCGCACTCGGCTATCGCCTCGTGCGACTCTAGCTTCGTGAGTGTTTAGCAAACCTCCCAAGTGCATCCATAACTCAATAGTGCACGCTATGGCGTTTACCATTTGTTTTATAACATAACATTGAGACATTGGAACAACAGAAG